TATATTATAGTAAGATCCCCATATACCCCATTTTCTATCCCTAAACCCTAAACCCTAAACCCTAAACCCTAAACCCTAAATAGTAGTTTCCATTTTCTTTTCCATTATCCCTATATAAACCCCAATAACATACCCCATATTCTATCTACTTAAGGGGGACTATAGGGCTTGGGGGTTTGGGACGTATGTCTGGGGTCCAGGGCCTAGGGCCTAGGACTTGGTGTTTAGGGCTCAACCTTTAGGGCTCAACACGGTTTAGGGTTTAGGGTTTAGGGTTTAGGATTTAGGATTTAGGGTTTAGGGTTTAGGGTTAACCCTAAACCCTAAACCCAAACCATGAAACTACATTATCTTCTCTATTGGCTTTCAATATAAATGCTTCCAGCAATGAACTTGGGGGCCGTGGGGTATAGTAAGATGCGGCCGACATACTCAGAGACATAGATGAGCACATATTAGAGTTATAAGTAGGGAGACTTGTCTGGGTTGCTGTTACGGAACTTAAATTAAGTCACCATAATGTATATGTAGTAAATAAAAGGGTTTCCCCCAATATAGTAACTTAAATTAAGTTCCTTAACAGCAACCCAGTATAAGTAGGGAGACTTGTCTGATCGATTTCATGCTGTCCCCTATATTCACCTGCGGTCTCTGCACGGAAGAGGCCGGACCAAGAAAAAACAATCCACCTGAACCCTGCTGTAAAAAGCCCTACAATAAGCCCGAAGTCAGACCCCTAACCCCTACGCCTTAAATCCTAAACCCTCATCCTACACCGTTACCCTAACCCCTGAACCCCTTAACCCTCAGCCCTGCACACTGGTGTGCCTTCGTCGTTCTGTAGGAGGATCTGCCATCTCTCCTCCGAGGCTGGATTGCTGCACTTGAGGGTAGTAGCTGGTCGTTGACATAAGAGTAGTGTTTTTGGTGGTTAAACCCAGTAAGATTATATTCCTTATATAAGGTACTATACCCCAAAAGGAGGATAGAATCTTACTCTATAATGGGTACCATAGTATCCCAAATAAAACACTACTCCCTCGAGGGTAGTTGCTGGTCGTTGACATAAGTCCGGCTGCGGGTTTAGGGTGTATGCTTAGTGTTCAGAATAGGCTGTAGAAACGTGCCCTCTATGAACGCACCTGAACGAACTATAGCACAAGGAGGATATGATCATACTCTATAGTTCTATACTGGGTATGCTGCTCACCCGAGCGGTCCGTGACATACCTCCGGTTAGCAAGGAACGATGGAATGGATCCTCATAGTAGTCCCCATGTAACCCCTATTACTACAACAATTGCCATTTTCTTTTCTGTTCCCTGAACCCAAACCCAAACCCTAGACAACAGTGGTTACCTTTTACTCTTCCAATCTCCAAACCCCGCAATCCTCAACCCTAAACCCTGATAGCGTCCCATTTGTTCATCCCCTGCCCCTGCTGATCAGAGGTAAGCTTGAGAATCTGGGGTTCAGCGTCTGAAAATTCGGCCTTTGGGGAGCAAAGGGAATTCAGCTGTACCACTTGGTGACCTGAAGGCTTAGGGTTTTGAGCGTAAGGTTTAGGGTTCAGGGTTTAGGATTCAGGGCTTTGGAAGTAGGGTTTAGGGTTCGGGTTTAGGGTATAAGATCAGAACAATGTACCCCAAAAAGCTCAATTCAAATGCCCTCCCCTTAACATTAGACCCCCTCACCCCATAGCGACAAATACCCCCAATGTAGTACCATTCTAAGATGGAAGACCCTAAACCCTAAACCGTTCCGGGCGTGGCAGGGTTCATGATTAGCCCGAATCGCTTATTTATCTTCCACTTGAAACCCTAAGACATAAACCCTAAAGCCCTAAACCTTACAACCCTGAACCCTACACCCCGGAACCCTAAAATCCTAACCCTCGAAATCCTAAATACTAACTTTGTAACGACTTCTACGTCAGCGTGTATCTCGCCCAGCGGCCTCTGGCGACCCTGGCTCCTTGTCCGCCGAGATGATGTCGTGGCGAAGCGGCCACCCCGCCCACACGGTTTAGGGGTTTAGGGTTTAGGGTTTTTAGGGTTTAGGGTTTAGGGTTCGGGCTCTATGTGAGCTATAATCTAAACTCCTAAAGGGGGGGTTATGTAGGGGATTATGTAGGGTGTAAGGTTTAGGGTTTAGGGTCTAAACTCCTTGAAGGGGGTTAAGTAAGGGATTATATAGGGGTCTACTACAGGGGTTATTAAGGGGGATACGAGGAGTTTAGACTATAGCTCATGTGGTAGTTTCCCAAAATTAGGGTCCCCCTTATATACCCCAATATTGGGGTCCCCGTTATGTACCCCAGTATTAGGGTTCCCCTTATATACCCCAATATACTATCATCCTTACTATGGGGATCCCTAAACCCTAAACCCTAAACCCTAATTAAACCCTAAACCCTAAACCCCTAAACCCTAAACCCTAAATCCTAAACCCTAAACCCCAAAATGGTACCCCTAATTGGGAAACTCTGAGCCCCGATGGCCTACTTGAAGGCCTTAAGGGGGGGTTATGTAGGGGATTATGTAGGCTCTAAGGTTTAGGGTTCAGGGTTTCGGGTCTAAACTCCTTGAAAGGGGGGTTATGTAGGGGATTGGACTCAGCGAATACCTGTAACTGGGTTTAAAATCCGATTTCTAAACCGGAGCATTACCTACAAAGGTGCAGTTAGGGGGTATAATAAGCAAAGGTATAAGCCCAGGTCCTACAAGTTACTTAATCCCATGAACCATCAAGGCGACCCTAACCCCTAAACCCTAAACCCCTAAACCCCTAAAGTTTAGGGTTTAGGGTTTAGGGTTTAGGGTTTAGGGTTTAGCCCTAAACCCTAACCCCTAAACCCCTAAACCCCTAAACCCCTAAACCCTTTGGGCTCCTACAAGGAGGGCTCTTACTGTGCGAACCGTGGGAAATTTGTAGGCTGATGGCCTGCAGCTTGGGATTTTTCATTCCGATACGGGGCTATAGAAGGATGTAATATGAGCTACTGTCTAAACTCCTGGTATCCCCCTTAATAAACCTTATAGTAGTCCCTATATAACCCTCTATATAGCCCCCCTTTAAGGAGTTTAGATTATAGCTCATATAGGCCGTAGGGCTTAGCGCTTCCCGCAAACCAAGGTCTCCTCTAGGGAGGGTCCTATAGCAAAGATTACAGTAGACTGGGTTGCTGTTAAGGAACTTAATTTAAGTTACTATATTGGGGAAACCCTATTATTTACTATATATACCCATTATGGTAACTTAAATTTAAGTTCCTTAACAGCAACCCAGTAGATTGGAATGGGAATTCCAGCATCCTATTCAAGGAAACGTTATCAGCGCGTGGGGTTGGCGGCATAGCGTGAGGTTTAGGGTTCAGGGCCTATGGTTTCCGGTAGGATCCTAGGACCCAAATCAAGCAGATCCCTCCAAAAAACTCTGTTTCGCAGCGACTTTTGAGCTACATCTTCATTTCCCAGATAAGTTTAGGGACATCGATTCCTATTACGGAATTTATGAAGGACTCTACTGAACTACCATAGGGACCATTATGTCCACCCTTCATGGTCCCTTGATAACCCTAAACCCTTGATCCTACACAGAAACCCGAAATTCTAATATATTGACAGTAGCTTTTATCAAACCGAGGGGCCCTCAGAGGGTCTACCCTGTTTGTGGTGCTGACGATCTACTAGACTGAAGCTTCCTTTTAATAATAGCCCTCTAACCGCCTGTAGCCCGTGTGTGCTCCCCATCGGAACCCTGTATAACCCTTTCTGGGAATTCTTCGGGCCCCAACCCTCAGGCCTAATTAAACCCTAAACACCGCCGAGCAGGTCCTCTGGTAGCATTAGCGCTGCCAGCAAGGTCACGGCGCGGGAGGGCACGCCCCGCCTCAGCCCAGGGAGTAGGATTTAGGATTTAAAGTCAACAGTTTAGGGTTTATTTCAAATACCTCCTAATTGTACAAGGAATCTGGGGCCATAATAGGTGCAGATATTTAGGCTCCTATACTCAAAGGGACCTCTAAGTCTTGGGCCTTAACTACTGCACACTCCTGCTTAAATCCTAAAACCTGAACCCTAGATATCCCTACATACCCCTTACACCCTCTTTTTAAAATTTGAAGAGAGGCCCCAAAGTCTTGGGCCCTAAACCCTCAACACTAAACGGTACAGGTCTTTTATATCCCTCTATTAAACCAGGACTCCAAGTCTCGGGCCCTAAACCCTAACCCCTCAAACCCTAATCCTAAACCCCTTGCGCACTCCGCACTCCCCCTGGGAACCCTGCCCAAGGAGTGGCGCAGCTGCAGAGAGCTTCACCTCACGGAGAGGGTTTAGGGTTTAGGGCCTCTGCCTGCGCAGGGCTGAATATCTATGCGCCGATGGCGCCATCCTGCTGTCAGGAATCTGTGGGCGGCGGCATGTCCTTCGCCCAGCAAACCTCGTGGACATCGTCCAATAAACCATCGACTGTGAAACAACACAGGCTACCGCCCCAATTATTTACGCCCTCAATTCCCACCGCAAGATCATCTTCTGGCTTCTGACTCGTCTGAGTAAACTAGTAAACATCAGGGGCCTCTTCCAGGTTTCCGGGAGCCAGCATGCTGCGGCCTCCAGGGGTCTCCAGGGCCTCTAGGTTCAGCCTCATGCACCGAAAAAACGTTTTGGGTGAGTTAACGGCAATTTGCCGTAAGGTTTGGAGGGGCTCCATGCGTCCACTCACCATTAACTCCTCTCGTTGTCTTACCCAGTACGGGTGTGCAAACTGCCGTGCGTTTACCACCCTAGTAATGGGTGGGCGCGGCCCGAGCAGGCCGTGGGAATTTGGTGCCTGGGACTTTGAATTTTTGAATTGCGATTACTCCGAAATTATTCCCCTCCCTGAACGCCAACCTTCAATGCTAAACCCTAAACCCTAATCCTTGAAAGGTAAAACCTAACGTTGAACCCACCCCTAAAGTTAAAAGTATCCAGCGTGTTGTGGTATAACGGCATAGCACAGAGGGAATATCGAATAGAAGGGGTTGGGGGATTTTTCAATATTCGGAGATTGTGATGAGTGGCTCAACATATCCCATTAAGGGCGTTACAGGGGACATATGGGTTTTAGGACTTAGGGTTTAGGGCTTAGAAGCCCAAACAATTCGAACACCGGAAGATCAAATAGAAAAGAGAAAATCTCTTTTCTATTCTGAATGGACAATTATATGTGAAATGGGTTTATGCAAGTGTTTATACGGATCAAACACCCTAAACCCTAAACCCTAGTGTTCTAGGGATCATAAGGAATTGGCTTGAAGAGGATTTTGGTCATCCGGAAGCTGAGCCCGTAGGGTTAAGGAGGGAATATGAGGACCGTCACAGGGAGTATTTAGGCGTGATTAGGCGGGGTGGGGGCTAAGGGCTTCGTGTTTGGACTTTGGGGGTTGGGTTGTTTCAAGAGTTTCCGGCTGAGGGTTTGGGATTTGGGGTTTTGAGGTTTAGGATAAAGTTGCGGGCTAAGGGTTTCGTGTCTTCAAGGTTCAAGATTTAAGATTTTTTTTCTCGGGTGTAGGGCTTAGAACATAGGATTCCGGATCAAGATTCACGGGCCTAGGGTTAGCCCGAAACCCTAGTTATGGGAATTTCAGATTACAGGGCTAAGGTTGTTGTGTACGCTTAGGGTGTATCCTCCCGCCAACTAACATGTAGCACCATAGAGACCTTTAAAAGCAGAGTCTTCTAAATTGAGCCTCTTTTCAGGCTCCATGTATGTGTGCGTCTGTGTGTGGGGGGGTCATTGTAACCCTAAACCCTAAACCCTAGTTACACTTTTGGACTTTTTTGGTTTTGTGGACGTGTCAAAAACGGGCTTCCTGAGGGATCTTGGATCCCTTTCTCCGTGCGTATTTGGGGCATCCATCTGGACGGACCCCAACACTATAGTCCCCCTTAAGTAGATACTATATGGCTTTGGGTATGTTGTAATAAGATCCCCATATACACCATATTCTATCTGCTTAAGTGGGACCATACATCCTGCCTTAATCAGTGAGCACTGACTGAAGTGACAACCCTTTTTCCCAGAACACCAGACGGAATCCTAAACCGAAACCCTTCAGGCTTTACACATCATACCCTGAACCCTAATCCCAAATCCATAAACCCTAATCCCGAATCCCTAAACCCTAATGCCTAAAACGTAAACCTGACCCTAAGCCTTAGACCCTAAACACTAAACCCGCCATAGGAACTAAACCCTAAACTATAAACCCTGATCCCTAATCCCTCAGCCCTAATCCCTAGACTATAAATAAACCCTAATCCCTAAACCCTAATCCCTAAATCCTACTCCCTAATCCCAGAACCCCAATCCCTCCCCCTAATCCCTAAACCTTGACTGAACTCTGCAGGATCTATTCTAGTAAGATCCCCATATACCCCATATTCTATCTGCTTAAGTGGGACCAGACATCCTGCCTTAAATGGGAATAATCCCCCTCAGGTTGATAGAATATGGAATTGCCCAATATCATAGTAACATCTACATATACCCCATAGTCTATCTACTTAAGGGGGTCTATTGGCTTGGAGGCCACCCTGTATCTTAAATGGGAATAATCCATGGAATTGCCCAATATCAAGAATGCCTCGAAGCCGCTTTCCAACTCTTCCAGGCTTCTTCCGGAGATCTGACCGCCTGTGGGTTGCTCAACATTTAGGGTTTAGGGTTTGGGGATTAAGGGGTTTAGGGTTTAGGGTTTAGGGTCTAGAATTTAGGGTTTAGGGTGTAGGGTTTAGGGATCAATGTTTAGGGTTTAGGGTTTAAGGGTACGCCCCAGAAGGTCCAAAACAGAGAACCCGTCAATATACCCCACTTCTAAATCAGGGAAACTCGGGGAGTATCAGGAGGTTTCTTTTTTGATCCTTTATGGGGTCTGGCTAGGCAGTACCCTTCGGAAATTTGAAAATCTACATAGATGTATTTAGGATACATGTATATATACGTGTGTGTGTGTGTGTGTGTATCAGGCTTAGGGCTCAGGATGTTCAGGGTTTCGGATTTAGGCTTTAGGGTTGAGGGTTTGGAGGTGTTTGGCTTTAGGGTGTGGGGTTGCCAGGGTATTCCGAAACCACAGGCACTCAGGAGCCCCTTGAGATGTGTAGGGATTAGTTTTAGCGTTTAGGGTTGGATATTGTAGGGGTCCCTGAGAGCTCAATGGTGTTGAGTGAAGGAAATTCATGCGTCAGCATCTGTTAGCTTGTTTTGGGGCCGCAAGACTCAAGTAAGGAGTTGACCCACCCACCCCCCAAAACAAAGGGCAGACGTCTTCCAACTTCAAGGGCGTCGCTTAAGCTAGCATGTTCGCTTGAAGAACTGTAAGGCTTGGATTCGGGCACTGGGTGGGATTTAGACAGTCGGCTTCTTATATCCGAACATGGCTCTGCAACGGATATGAAGGTTTCTCAAAACAGGGCCCCCTGACCCCAAAAAATAGGGCCGTGACAGATTCCCATACCAGGGATGATTAGAGGGGCTTAGGGCTTAGGGTTTAGGAGAGCTCGCGCCGCTTTACGTGAGCTATAGTCTAAACTGCTCGTATCCCCCCTTTTAAAGCCCTGCAATATTCCCCTATATAGCCCCCTTATATAGCCCCCTTTAAGGAGTTTTCCGGGATTATAACAGGGATCCTAACATTAAGGCGGTGTCTACACTATTGCTCATGTGGGTTTAGGGGTTTGAGCTGTTGAGTTTCCCGGCTTAGAAAAATTTAGCCGCGTAGGCCGCAAAAGATTGCTGTAGGATTATATTTCGGGTAGTGCCCTCACCCTGGAACAGTCTATATTAGGGGTCATATTAAGGGCTATATGTATATATATATATAAATACTCATATTATGAAAATTGTCTGACTGTTGATGAGTGGGGGCAGTACCCAAACAGTAGGATTATATTACATGAGGGAGCTGATCAACAAGAAAAACTTCTTACTGCGCACGTAGCCACACAGCCTTTCCTTTTGACAGGTTCAGATGGGGCTGGATACATCGTTAGGTATAACTGGGCTATGACTGTGCTAAACCCTAAACCATAAACCCTAAATTAAGTATAACTGGGCTATGACTGTGCTTGCAACTGGGTCAGAGTCCAGTCATGGAGTTGTAGGTAGGGCACTTATAGTTTAGGGCTTAAGGTTTAGGGTTTTAGGGTATCAATTTCGAAGTCCCATGAACCTCCAAGAAGCATTCCCACAGCATAGTTTCTCTGTGGGCATACTGCCAAAGGACCTGGGGAAACTGACGGCCACCAATGGTACAAATTACGTGTTCTTCTGAAGCTTTAAAGCTTCTTTTAGATCCTAACCAACTTGGAATGATGAAACGGAATGAACGGGATCAGAAGACAAGTAAACCATGCAGCCCCCGTGAAGTCGCTACGTAATCCACGGATGACTCACGCAATGAACCCTGCAATGTCAGAACAATCCCAATTTCATATCGGCGTAGGCTCTAGGATTTAGGAGCTAAACCCTTGATCCTCAAAAATGAAACCACGACCCTTCCCGAACGTTCTAAGTGAGAGACAAGCGCTGTCTAATGACTACCATTAAGTAGAATCCTGCTAAAAGAGATGGTTCAAAACCTTACCCTACACACTCAATCCCCTGAACAGTCAAAGCTGAAACCTGAAGCCCCTCACCCAACAAACCCTTCACCCTTAGCCCTCACATGAACCTACTCCTCTGGGTTTAGGGCTTACGGCTTTAGGGTTCAGGGTCTAAACCCTAAACCCCAAAACAGAAAGACCTTTTACCAACATCACCAAACCCAAATATTTGAACCTCAAGCCCCTAGTCTTAGTCCCCAATTCAGGATCCAGCACTCTGACCCGCCAACCTAAACCCAAATCCCTGAACCCGAGGTCCAAAACGTAAGCTAAACCCTCATGCAGTACGCCCAAATGGCTAGACCCCAAAGGCCCCAGACCCTTAACCCCTAATGTATGTGTGCAGACAGATATATATGTATATATGTAGTTTATTTTCTTATTTCTGTCCCTACCCCTTTACATGGGGCCTAGACCCTAAACCCCAAGCCCAAAACCCTTAAGCCACCTAAACCCCAAACCCTCCGTTTTATTGTCCATTATCCCTAAGTAACCCCTATACGACCCCTACATTCCCTTTAAAGGCACCCCCTAATTGGAGGAAAATTTCTGGGGAGCCCACCGCGGGCTCTCCAGACTTCCGCAGCTGCGGCCTGCAGGTCAGCGGAGTCCTTGGCTCCAAGGTTTGAAATCTTAGGGCTGTGGGTTTAGGTTTAAGGTTTGAGGGTTAAGGTTGTAGGGCTTAGGGTTTAGGGTTTAGGTTTAAGGTTTAAGGCTTAGGGCTGTGGGCTAAGGGTTTACAGTCCCCCTTAAGTAGATAGAATAGGGTATATGAGAATCTTAATATAATAGACCCGACACCATATTCCATCTACTTAAAGGGGGACTAGAGGGCTGTGGGTTTAGGGTTGAGGGCTTTGGGTTTAGGGTTGAGGGCTTTGGGTTTAGGGTTGAGGGCTTTGGGTTTAGGGTTGAGGGCTTTGGGTTTAAGGTTGAGGGCTTTGGGTTTAGGGTTGAGGGCTTAGGGTTTAGGTTTCGGGTTCAGGGCTTTGGGTTTAGGGTTGAGGGCTTTGGGTTTACGGTTTGGGGTTTAAGGGTTAAGGGTTTAGGGCTTAGGGTTTAGGGCCTAGGGTTTAGGGCTTTGGGTTTGAAACTCAGGGTTTAGGGTTTAGCTGTTGATGCGTGTATATGACATATACATATATGTAGATATGTATATGCAGATGCTTATGTGGATATGTGTATGTATATACACGCGTATATACATATATATATATATACCCCTGTATTTCTACAGATGTGTGCATGGGCATAGATGTATATACACATTCTCCGAAGGGATAGATGGGAATGTCATCTACAAGGAGGTCGTGGTTAGGGTCTGAGGCTGATACTTACTTTGAGGTTCGTGCAACTTCATGTGACATATGGTTACACCCCAGCTAAAAGTACTTGTTCAGTCCTACTAACCTCATTGTTAGGGTTTCGGATGGTTGAAACCTCCAAGGTGAAGAGATTTGTCTGGCAAGTTTCCAGTGTGGAGTTTAGGATTTGAGATCGAATGTCTGCGGTACAGGGACTCGGGCTTGGGCTAACTATACTCCTTACGGGGACCTCAAAAGAGAGCCCCAACTCTTTGAAACCCAGGTCTGCCGCGCGGTCCTTCCAGAACCGTGCGCTCCACTTGCTTCTGAAAAAGAAGCCTCCAGTTTTTGACCCGCAGTCAGACTCATGTGAACTACTGACCAAAGTTAGGTTGGGGGGACCCTAAACCCTATAGGCTTTTTGGGGGACCTACTAAGGAATATGACCTATAGTCTAGACTCCTAATATCCCCTTAATAACCTCTATAATAGTCCCCCTATATAAACTTATATAATCCCCTTTTAAGGAGTTTAGTCCAGGGCTCATGGAACAGGTAATAAATGCAAAGTCCTGGGTGATGAAGCGCCACTTCATCAGTTGGGTGATCGATCCAATGGCAACAACTCTTGGGGAAGACGCGGGAACGCTGAATTTGACACTAATATATGTATGAAGAAAAAACAAACCACGTTAATAATGATAATATATATATATACACCATACTAGATAAGGTGTGACTACATGTGTTCAACAGCATACTACTATATCGGAGCACATATGAATATGCAGCTCTGTGTGTATGTATATATATATATGTATTACATATGTATCCTGTTATATGAAGTTACTGCACACATACACATACATATATATATATATTTACAGACACTAGCTTTAGTCCTAAAAATACTATACAATCCTTCAAGCCCCCTGTCGGCTGAGGACTCTCACGGGGTTGCTATGCGCCTCCTCACCACGTGGACCAACTCAACTTGAGTTCAGGGTTGAGGGTTCAGGGTTTAGGGTTTAGGGTTTAGGGGTTTAGGGTTTAGGGGTTTTGGGTTTAGGGTTTAGGGTTTAGGGGATTCTGGGGCCCTCGTCCGCGAACACTCGATTCCTCCCCGACTTCAGCGCAAGCTTAAGGCTGAGGGCTTAGGGTTCCTACCTCACTGCCCCGACCCCCCACTTGGGTTCCACATTAATCAAAGCTATTTAAGGATAAGTAAGGCTGACTAAGTCAAGTTTATGGCAACCCTGGGTATAAGGGGGGGCAGCCATGAAGATTTTGAAAATTTGCACTTCAAGGTTTAGGGGACGGAAGTTATTGAAAAGATTAGGGCTTGGAGCTTTAAATTTGGGTTTAAGTCTAAGATTGAGCTCCCTCTTTGAGTACCCTACTTATTACGGGCCGTATTCTACAAGGGACCCATAAAGCGATTTCGATATGTATATAGGATTTTGGGATCAGGACAGACAATTTTGGAACAGGCAATGGACTTTGGGGATCAGCGTTTAGGATTTAAGGTTTGGGTTCAGGGATTAAGGTGGATACGTAGTGAGGTACAGCTCTCTCAAATTGTTCACCTGGAAGAATCATAAATCAGGCAGACTCTGTTTCCCTGGCCTACAACCCAGTAAACACCTTGTGATACGAATCCCTTATGACACGCCTCTACTTTCGGACATCCTAATCTTCAAGGATCCCATCAACTGCCAGCAAGCGGCCAGCACGATGCAATCAAAGTCGTTCGGCCAGGACGTAAAACCTGCGTTGTATAGCCTGGGACCAGGATGTGGTAGTTTCTCAAAAGAACGGGACCCCAGTAAAGACCCCAAAATACTACAATCCTTGTTTTCGGGACCCCCAAAAAAGGCTACCCCTAATTTTGGGAAACCACCATTTAGCATCCAGGGGTCTTGGGGTTCAGAAGGGCAAACTTCGAGATTTTGAGCAATTAAGCCGGGAAAGCCTGAAAGCCATAGAAATTAGGGTCTAAAGTTTAGGGTTTAGGGTGCACAAGCTTACTTGGAGGCATTGGAGGCTCAGGTGACCGAGTCAACAGGTTATGCAGCAGGCTAGAGAGGCCCCTTTGAAGTGACTTATGACGCTATATTGCAACCTATATATAGGGTCCTGCCCCCACCCAATAACAGTCTACATTAGGGCTAGGGGTCATATATCCAACTGTTAATGAGTGGGGCAGTACCCAACCTATTTTGTAAGTCGCCTTAATTAGCTTTCAAATAGAGTGCACGTTCGGCCATTCCCCCTTGCAGGAACAGTTGGCACAGGATGTTATCGGACTGATAGTAACCCCCTAACAACGCCCTTAACAACAGCCTTTTGCCCCCCCCCCCCCACCCAGCCCTTAAGATTTAACATTCCCGCAAAAGAGACCTTCTGTATTGGAGGAAAATCCAACATTAAGCTTATAAGAGCTATGGTCTAAACTCCTAGTATCCCCCTCAATAACCCCTATGGCAGTCCCTGTATAGTCCCCTATATAACCCGCTTTCAAGGAGTTTACACTATGGATCATAAGGCTCCCTGCCACGGGAATATCGCACTAAGCCTAGAGACCCTCGCGGCCCTTGTAAGTGGACACGTCAAATTATTAACCCTAAACCCTGAACCGTAAACATTGAACCGTGAACCCTATTCCCTAAACCTTACACTCTGAGTCTTAAACCCTACACCCGAAGCCCTAAACTTGGGAATACCCCTAAACCCTAAACCCTAAACCCTAAACCGTGTGGCCCTGAATCCAAAGCCTCGCAAGCCCGAGACCTAGGAAACACTGGCAACAGTTTCTTGGCTTCCGGGCAGGGTTTAGGGTTTAGGACCACGCGCTTTAGGTTTTAGGGCTGAGGGATTAGGGTTTGTTTTGGGGGTTTAGGGTTCAAGGTAAGATTGGGGGCTGGAGTTAACAGGCAACAAGCCATGCCACCACTAGTTCGGCTTGAAGTGAAGGATATTCAGTGTGACTTACGAGGAAAGTCTAAACACATTTTCTATCTTCCCCAAACCCCCTAACTCCAAACCCTCAGCTCTAAACCAAACAACCTAGATCTTGAACCGTGAACCTTATGTATGCCTATAACCCGTGTAAAGGATCCCTGACCTCAAAGGCTTACATTTTGCGCTGGGCAGTGTGAGAAGGCCCAACTTCAGATAATTTCAATTAACAATGTGCAAGCCTGTGGTTGATGACTGAACCGCCTCAACTTCTGTTTTAGGCGTTGCCGGCGGTAGCAATTGCCACGTTTTACTTTCAAGAATGCCTTCGACCGACAGTTTTGATCCCACGCCTTGGCTGATGAAGTGCTGAGGTTGGTACTGTTTTGTACACCTCCAGACGCTTCATGTAGACCGGAACGTGATCCTCCAGGTGCTTCAATTCGCCCAATGACTGACAGGTTGCAATTTTGAGCGACATGAGTCCGACAAGGAATAGTCCATCCTTGTTGTGCGCCTTCGAGTCGAGCCTCAGCGACGCTCTGCTCCTGTTTGCCGGTATGGGCAACTGCGTCCTTCTCTAGGAAAGCAGGCTGTCCGAGGATCTTCAATGACCCGAAACCCTAAACACTAAACTTTGAACCCTAAGTCACTAGGCTCCAAGGATTGAACCCGAAAGGAAGCGCGTGCGCTGCTTGGCTTGGTGCCTTGCCGCGACAAATAAAGGCCCCAAGCCCTAAGGGTTTAGGGTTTAGGGGTTCAAGGAACTTGGATACCTGAACCCAGCCCCTAAAACCCCTGAATCCTTAAAAAACTCCAAGCTCCAAAAAAATCCCCATACCCTACTCCATAAACTCCCAGACTCGGAGTTTTCCTCCGTGTCAAGCTGAGGCGCAACTCTGAGTTGGAAAAGTGCCCGTAGCAGATCAACAGCTCTTCCCCTTGCAGCTTTGGGGTCTTTTAAGGGAATTATTGAAGGGCCCCTTTAACGCTCAAAGGGCGATAGAGATTATACCCTAAACCCTAAACTCTGAACCCTATACAAAATCTTGTGGGATTTGGTAGTTTGCCAAAATAAGGGGACCCCAATATAGACCCCAATATACTATAGTCCTTATTATGGGGACCCCCCTAATTTTGGGAAACCCCCATTTAGGATTTTTGGGTTTCAGGGGTGGAGGGTTCAAGGTTCAGGACTGAGGGTTGACGTTTTAGGGTTTGGGGTTTAGGGTTTTCTGAGGGTTCCGGGTTGAGTGCTCAGGGTTGCAGCTAGGCTTTGGGGCTCAAGGTTTATGGTTGAGGGTTCAGGCCTTAATCCTTGCGATTCAGAGTGCCCAAACCCTAAACCCTAAATAGTAGTTTCCATTTTCTTTTCCATTATCCCAATATATCCCCCCATTGCCTATCTACTTAAGGGGGACTATAGAGAGTTGAAGGTCTACGGGATGGCTCAATGAGGCCTTAAGACGAACTCCGCGGCGATGTGCTGCTTTCTGGGGGGGATCTCATGCGACTTAGTATGGCTGTGAGAGATACTATTGCGAATTCATGCGGTCGTCTAAAGTTTGCTCACAGAGTTTGGTCACAATACAAGTAACCTCTGAGGGAGACCCCTTGATCTCATTCTAATCCGTTACTTCTCTGTATATATGTATATACTCAAAAAAGTGGGGGGGTTCCCAAAGATAGGGGTACCTTTTCGAGGGTCCCTATAGTAAGGATTGTAATGCTTTGAAGTCTTTATGGGGTGCTAAAAACCACATACATATATGAATATATACGTATCTATCTATGCCTAGCTATCTATCCATCTATCTATTTCTCTCACTCTCTCTCTCTCTCTAGGGCCCCCCAGGGGCTCCCAATTTCAGAAACTTGCATACTGCCATTGTGCAGGCTTATGGGCTGCGCACTCTGTGGAATTCGGGACTTGCAAGATTCCACCATACAGTTTAGGCTTTGGGGTTTGAGTGCCTTTGTGATAGTCCCTATAATGAGGACTCTTCTATGTTTGGACTATATACGGGTACCCCGTTTGAGCTATAGTCTAAACTCCTGGCATCCCCGTTAAGAACCCCTAGACTACTGTCCTGTATAGTCCCCTATATAGTCCCCCTTTAACGAGCTTAGACCCTAAGCCCTGAACCCTATATAATCCCCTATATAACTTCCTTTAAGGAGTTTAGACACGAAACCCTATATAAACCCCCTTTAAGGAGGCAAGACTATAGCTCATTTCGCTTTTCGGGCCTGATATTTCAGGAATGCCTTTCCAAGGATTCGGCATGACCAGGCTTGATCGTCTACGCTTACGGGTGCTCAAGGGAGAGCGGGGGAGTTGATCCCTACAATCATCCCTAGGGTTTAGGGTTTAGGGTTTCGGGTTTAGGGTACAATAATTCCTATTCATACCCTAAGCCCTTAACCTGCTACCTATACTGATTCCCCCACTCCCCCTTAAGCACCAATAGGTACAGTTCGAGGCTAGGAGAAAAGCTGGCCGGCTTACCACACGTAATACGTTTGTATATGTAGAGTGGGAGAGAGAGAGAGAGTGAGAGTGCGAGACGGAGAGATATATGCAGGCAGTACATATATATATATATACAACTCTGCACACACGTATATGATATGTGTGTATGTGTATTCATGTACACAACGAAAAACCTCAATTTCGGCATTTGAGCCACTGTCTAAACTCCTAGTATCCCCCTTAATAACCCCTATAATAGTCCCCTATATAGTCCCATATATAACCCCCTTTAAGGAGTTTAGACTACAGCTCATTTGGCCCTGTGCACTGCGTAGGATTCAGGATCTACTTGGAGGGTCAGGGTTACTTAGTAAGTAGGTTAATAAGCCCTATAACCCATATAGTAACCCTAATTATCCCCATTATTAACCTACTTACTAAGTCCCCCTGACCCTCCAAGTATGCCTTCAAAACAGAAGGGGTGGCTCTTACGCTTCGGCGCCTCAGGGAAATCTAAACACTATCATCCGGACGGCCTTACTTCCTGGTTGGGCTTGCAAACGCCCAGATGAGGCCCAAAGCCTACATCCCTGAAACCTGAGCCTGTAGTCTCATTTAATAAAGATAATATTTTCAATGACCCCTTCGGGTTATACTATGATGCAAATTAAACATAATTCCTGAGGAGACTACAGCGACCTCATAAGCCCTAAGTCCTAGATCCCTGTAGTCTCATTTCATAAAGATAATATGTTCAATAATCCCTTCGGGTTATACTATGATGCAAATTAAACATAATTCCTGAGGAGAGTACAGCGACCTCATAAGCCCTAAGTCCTAGATCCGCAACTATCCGCATCCCGAAGTCCCACGCCCCTCCAAACCCTCCGGAACATAAGATAGAGACGCAAAAAATACCAGTACACGTTTTAGGGTTTAGGGTTTAGGGTTTAGGATTTAGGGTTTAGGATCATGTTGATGTCTATTTGAGGTGCCCTCTACTGTACTTATACAAAGAACCTAAGTCCGTAACATTGGCAATTTCTTTTTCGGAAATCTTAGGCCCTACATGCTGAACTCGGAACCCTACACATCCCCCACAACACCCGGGACCAGAATATTAGCAATGATCTATGCTTCTACAGCACTCCTAAACCCTAGTCCATATATCCCCCTAATCCCTAAACCCTAATCTCTAAACCCTCACCCTATTTCCTAAACCCTAAACCCTCAACCCCCCGGCCTGGGTCGACATCACATGTCGTGACCTGAGGGGGTTGGGGTTTAGGGCAATGCTGTATGTGGGTTTAGGGTTTAGGGTTTAGGGTTTCGGGGTTCAGGGTTAAGGGCTTAGATTAAGGGTTTAGGGTTTGGGGTTTAGGGCCTCGATTATGGGTTTAAGGTTTAGGGCGTCGATTATGGGTTTAGGGTTTACCTTTTGGAGATCAGGGTAATAGCTTACATGACGGTTTTTTAAGGGCCTTATAGGCAGTGTATAAGGTCATATGGGATGGGGGTTGGTGGTTTGAGATTCAGGTAATAGGTTACATGAGGGTTACAAAAGGGCTTAATAGGGATCGTATAAGGTTACCTTGGGTTTTACGGAGGCTCTACAGGGATTATATAAGCTTACGGTTTAGGGCTCGGGGATAGGGGGAAACATGGGTCCAAGGTGTTCAGGCTTGGAGGCTTGGGGATTTAAAGGTTTATGGGCTAGGGCTTGGGGATTTAGAAGGTCAGGAGTTTAGGCTTCTTCGGCCTGTGGCATCGGAAATCAACACCGTAAGAACCCTTTTGCGCTGGCCATGATTGCCATATGAGGGGCTCAAACTGGTGGGTCTGTTCTGGGGTTTCGGATATCGATGATGCCACTACCCGTGATTTTGGAGGCATGGGTTGGTGCCTCGCAGTTTAGGGTTTAGGGATACACCGTCAGCGGAAGACTGAGAGCGCGGCCCCTTCAGCGTCTTTCACCCTACCTCTAAACTCGATACTCTAAACCCCCCCACCCTGAACTGTAAACAACCCTAAACTTTAAACGCTAAGCCCCGAAACCCCAAACCTACATAAGCTCGGTAGGGGAAATATATGCGGGATTCTGGGCCCAGTTATGGGTAGGTACTAAATCCCATGAAATTCCAAGCACCCTAAGCTTCTGCCTGTCAAAGGAAGCCCGCATCCGTCCTCGCTTCAAGGATGCCACGCTGTTCAGGGTTTGGGGTTTGACCCTAAACCCTAAACTCTTGGGCACGTAGCGGCTTGCCGAAATCAGGGGAGCTTAAAATAATGAGGGGATTTTGGTAACCCCAACCCCCCAAAAAAGGACCCTATAAACATCATATGATAGTCATAGAGTCCTAATTTTGGGGGTTGGGGTTACTAGAATCCTTTTATTATAACGGGCCCCGCGGCATACTAGGCAAACGAGCATGTCAAGTAGATCGTGCCACAGGGAAGATGAGAATACCACGCTAAAGGCTCGTGCCCTTGCACGGCGGTGATGCTCCAAAACGGTTGAGCCATGCAAGAGTCCGGAGTGTGAACACCGGTAAACAACCCTAAACCATAAACCCTAAACCATCAGAGCTTCCTTGACCTCTGTGGGTGCAGCACAGGGCCGCCGTGTTCCCCTCACAGGGTAGCAAAAACACCCTGGCCTGAATCAGATGCTTGGGCCGCAAGAGGTCAACCTCCATTATATGGGGTTTTTTAAGGGATATATAGGGGATATATAGGGGATATATTGGGATAATGGAAAAGAAAAGTGAAGCTACTATTTAGGGCAAAAACTCGGAAGATGTTGCGAAGCATCTCTCCAAGGGACAAACTGATTGGCAGGTTCAAGGGTAGCTGACGGGCAGTATAGATGGGTCACTGAAAACAGGGGGCATACTGTGGAAGTCCATATAAGTACAACCATCATGTCTTTGTACACCCTACGAAAGTTATGAATTTGAAAGCTACCTGCATCCTGCCCCCACACGACTTCTGTAGGCCCCTATGTTTAGGGTACAGCCCTGGAACCCCTGAGATGGGCACTTAGAAGTTACGTTGCAGGGAACCTAGAGGTTACTTCTAGGGTTTAGGGTTTAGGGTTTAGGGTCTATCCTGTCTTGAGGTCCCTTGGGGATCTACCTGATTCACGGTGTACCCTCTTAAGTCTAAATCCGAAACCATAAACCCCCTTACAGCGGGAAAGGGCTGGTCCCAAGAAGACACGCAGCGAGCGTGCGCCGAGCGGCAACTTCGATGTAATCCTCATGCTGGACCACTTCGCAGTTGGCATTCCTGTGATCTGCAGAGCTTTCAGATTTAGGGTGTAGAGCTTAAGATTTGGGGTGAGGGCGGAGGGTCTAGGGTTTAGGGTCTAAGGCTGTGGGTTTAGGGTTTGGGGTGTAGGGTCTAGGGTTATGTGCTGGGGTTTAGGGTTCAGGAAGCCGTCAGGCTTCCAGGTGTGGAGGACTTAGAATGTATGGATTTGGGGTTTAGAGCTCCCCGAATACCCCCGTACTGTTGATGGATGAAATCTTGCACCAGCTAGGGGCCCTAAACTACCATAATTCCTAGGACTTTAAGGACTTAAGGTGGTGCGAGATTTCCTCCATCAACAGTATGAAGGTTTAGGGTTCAGGGTCGAAGGTTTAGGGTTTTATGGTTTTTGGGGTTTCGAGTTTTAGGCTCTCGGGTGGACACAACCAAAAAAAAACTATGACCTCATATGAACTGTAGTCTAAACTCCTTAAAGGGGGCTAAATGAGGGGTTATATGGGGGAGTATGATAGGGGTTACGAAGGGGGATACTAGGAGTTTAGATTATAGCTCATATGACCCTTACGGGGTCCTTGTTATAGGGGTTGGGATGGCAGAAGCCCCCTTGTTACTAGCAATAAGTAGGTCGTCGAAATAGAAGTTCATTTCGGGCTACCCTATATATTAGGGTACCCAAACAGGGGACCATAATTTTGACAACCTCCCATGCGCCCCTCCTGCCCCAAACCCTAAATCCTAGCCCCCAAAACCCAAACCCTACACCCTGACTCTTAGGCAGCCTAGTCTACGGTGCAGAGGATCCGGGGGAGAGCAGAACGTACAGGACAGAAACGTTGAAGTCAGCATCCGTCTACAAAGATACTCATGTCAGATCACCAAAGAAAAGCGGAATAATGATCTGCTGAAGACTCTCTGAATGATCCGGTTGACCTCCTCCTTCTGCCTTAATGCTTGTGTCTCGCGGGAAGAGGTTCATATGTACACCAAAAAATGCCAAGACCTTTCTTAGAGAGACCCCCCACACATGAACCGTCATTTTGGAAAACCATGGATTCCCTCAAAAACCTGTGGAATCACACAAGCACCGATGTCGTCATCATCTTTCCTCTACATACGAGTTTGTGGAACTCATTGGTCCCCGCACTGAGACCAGTAATACAGCAATTCGCTAATCACGGGCTAATATGGTTCACCAGTCAGGGAAGGGGACGCACCGCTAAGATCCCCAGAAACCTAGGACCCAAAAAGTCACCCTTTCAAATAGATTTTCTTGCCTAAAGAACTCAAGACACCAAAAAAGGAAAAAGTGCCTACTCAACACCCCTGACCATGATGGCTCCTTGAATTCGGAGCTTTGGCAAACAGAGGCTCGAGGGTGAGTGATTGAAGCAGTCAGCCAGGGGCAGGAGGATAGTACCGCCTTTCAAAGGCCAGGTTTAACCCTAAACCCTACACCCTGGACCCTAAACCCTACAGGTTTTGTTCGATAAGTTTCCGAGATTTGGGAGTACGGTCTAGGTTTGGGGATCTCAAAAGCAAGGCGGTTTAAGGGTGCAAGGGGCTGGCAAAATGTCATTGCTGCTTCAGAGTTAACCTGTCCATATTCCATGGCTCACTGATCCAAGCCTATTACTGGCATCTTACAGTTGCAGCTGCCATTGCTCCCCAAACCTTAAATCCGGAAACCTTAAACCGTTTCTTCTGGTCGATGCTCCTTCTACAGGGGCCTATTGGTAATTATTTAGGCACCTAAACCGGTTCATACTATTGTAATTTCCATTTTCTTTTCCATTATCCCAATATAATCCCTATATAACCCTATATCAACATTTTTTGGTGTTTTTCATCTCAGGGTCCCAAGTCTTCTTTGGCGATGGACCCTAAACCCTAAACCCTAAACCGCGTGGCGGTTTTAGGGTTTAGGGTTTAGGGGTTAAGGGTCGGGGGTACATTTTACTGTAGCTATACCAGGAATTCACGCGTAACATTGAGAAGTATTCAGGCTTCAGCAAAAGTCGGCTAGTAGGCATACATCGCATCATTCTGATGATTCTCGATCTTCCTGCCGCCGAAATATCCGAGTTCGTATTGCTCTTGGTATTCTTGTTAGGCTTTGTAAGCATACTTCTTCAAAATCTTCTTAAGTCTTGCCGCGGGTGACCGTACGTCCCTCATACTTCTCTTAGTGATGCTCGTCCGGTGAGCTCGTAATGTTCAAGGCCATAACAGGACACCTCCCAAACAATCATGGAAGCCAAAATGGGCACTACAAAAATGTTGTCCTTCTGGAAGAACTTATACGAGTTTTCGCGTGTTTTTTGAGGTAGGGCATACCACATTGTTATGCAGGTTTGCCGAACTCTTAAGAACTCTGACTTTGAGCATTCAACACTTTATCATCTGCATAGATTTGAGCCATAATCTACACTCCATATAAGGCATATAAGGAGGGCTCATATGTATGTAGATGTTTTAGAAAGGCGGTATTAAGGGTGATACAAGGAGTTTTTGATTATGGCTCATGTAAGCATGCGCATGTATGTAACTATAAATGTGCGTGTATGTGGAAACGAAAATTATCATCATTACTAGTACTGTCACTACTGCTGGGTTGCTGTTAAGGACTTTAAATTACCATACTGGGTATATGTGATGAATAATATGGTTCCCCCAGTATAGTAACTTAATCTAAATTCCTTAACAGCAACCCTAAACCTGAACCCCTAGCGATTATTGTTCTTTTCTGCTACCCTATGAGGTGCCGACATACTTACCCTTTTTTGGGGTTTAGGCTTTCCAGAAAGCAGGCAAACTTCGCACGAACCCTCCCTAATTGGAGGTTCATGGGACTTGGTAAGTAGTTATAACTGGGCCTATACCTTACGCATGATTGGGGCAACTTACATCTGTCGAGTTAGCGGGATTATAAATCAGGTTATAAGCCCAGTTAGAAGCAGTTACTAGATCCCATGAACCTCCAGGTTTGCCGTCCTCCTTTCGCAGCATGCGCACGCGACTGAACCTGAGAAGTCATTTTCCGTGGTTGTGAATCTACGTGAATCAGATTCCATCAGCATCGTCTACAAGCGTTTAAGCTGTCGAGAAAGATTGTGGTTAATTTGCTGTTGCCTGACTTCAGCCATCTTTAAGTCAAAGAATCTTACGCTTGAATTGTCAGGGAGCCCTAAACCCTAAACCCGTAGCAATATCTTGGGTCCTGCCCCCACCACTACAACATGTACAATAGGGGTAATATTCAGGGCAATATATAGTTATATTGTAAACATCACCCAGCTGTTAATGAATGGGAGCTGTATCCAACTAATGTCACCAACTAATGTCAGAAGAAGAGAGCCGGTAGAGAACCTATATGGGGGTGTGGATGGGACAGCTCTTCAAGACTATGTACAGTAGGAGCCTCAGGAAATGTCAATGTTGTAAACTTCATATACAGCACAACTCTGAAATCAAATGCCCAAGAAGCACATTTAAATAAATGGTCCAAAGAGCAGGGCTCTTTTTGTTAGGGTGGGTTGGGTTGGGGCGGGGGTTTATGTCAGGGGGGATTAACTAAAGGACCCTGACAGCAGTGCTCGTGGCGTTGTCATGGTTGAGGTTGCTTTGGGTTTGTATAGGGGATTATATGCACCCCCTTTGCCTAGGGTGTAGGGTAAAGGTTTTAAGCGTTTAGGGTTTACGGGAATGCATTTTTTGGAGCCAATGCCAGCTTTTGGGGGACTAGGGTTCAGGGCTTAGGGCCCATAATTGGCCCCCAAATATCCGGCTATTGTGACCCAAAAACCGGTTGGGACTGTTGGAGGCAAGCCTGTGACAAATCCAAAACCCAAAGTCCCTTCTTAGCTGAAACGCATAATTCCGGAGTCACATTTAAGCGCAACGACTTGCTCATGCGGAGCAAGGAAGCATACTAGGGTCTAAAATGTCTTCTCACCCTACACTCCCCCCACCCTCACCCCCTGCCCTCACGCAAAGCTCCACTAAACTCTGAACCCTAGACCCGAGAATCCTAAACCCCACACCCTAAACCCCACACACAGCTCTCACACACCCTGAATCCCAAACACAGCTCCCCTACACCCTACACCCCAAACACAGCTATCATAAACCCTAAACTCCAAACACAGGCCCCCTAAACCCTAATCAGTGATTTGCAGCTGAAGGGCATTAGCGGCAGCCCACTGTAGGAGTTCCTCGCAGCACTTCAGAGAAGTCAGAAAGAAAGTAAAACACTAGAAACCGTCGAATAATGTTTTGAGGTTTAACTAGGGCTTGGAAATTAGGGCTTGGGGGAATTTACGAAGGTTGTATAGGGAAGTGTATGAGGTAAATCAGGGGAGATTATGCGTTGACATAAAGGGTCTACGCAGATCTGTGAAAGGGAGGCGCGGGAACGGCCCCAAATCCTAAATCCTAAGCCCTCATCCCTAAACCCTAATCCCTAAACCCTAATCCCTAAACCCTAAACCACCTTTAACCCTCAAACAATATAGTAGTTTCTGTTTTGTTTTCCATTATCCCTATGAAACCCTATATAACATCCTAA